AGAATAAGTGACGGGTGACCCTCGTTGACCCTCCACGGATAAAATTCAGAGGGGGAGGCCCATTATTGGTTTAAAAAATATTAAGGACGAGGAGTTGTGAATTGAGTGGGACTGAGAGAAAACGAAAGTAAGTTGAAGCGCGTTAAGCACCAATCACGCCCACTTCAACGCTTATTCGGGTTTTTTTTTACTGATCTTTTTGTTATTGTATTTGTTCGTTTTTGTTTTGCTGTCGTTCGTGCTCCGTTTTATTTGCCGGACTGTGCACACATGGCAGCGAATAAAAAGGGAAAACACGAGTGAGTGGAGGGTACCAACATTGCTGGAGATGTGTCTATCCATCATGGCGTGCGAGAGGACTTTTGGGTGTATGGGTTTGCGTTGGTGATGGGGGGTGGGGGGGTAAGGGGGGAAAATATTGAATTGTCGTCGTGCGACACTCGGATAACCCGGTTCAATCGATCCGGGAGATATCTACCCCCTTCGGTTGACAGTCACGAGCGATTGGAGGCGACGAAAGAGAATGTGACATTTGTTCGTTGATTTTTATTTTTAGATTTGCGATGGTTTCGCCCGGGGGAAACGATGGGAAATGATCTGAAGCGGTGGTTTTATCTCTTCTTGAGGATAGTTTAGGTTTTTTAGGGGCGTGGAGGAGAATAACGCGGAGGAGCGGAGGATTTACGATTTTAAAGGGGAATTTTTTACTCCTCGTTGCGCTTCTATTGCGGAAATTCAATAGAAATGAGCTCTTCGTGTCGAGCAGTTGGTGAATGACAGCGTGAATTTTTAATGTTAGTGGGGAAATTGAGAAACAAATTGTAGTCCAGTGCATTTGTTAATGAATTTCTTTGATATCTCTGCGGAATTCCGCACATGTAAAGTTACTGCGAAATTATCACTTTTTTTCGGATGTGCAGAAATTTGAGGGGAAGATATAATTTGATCAATAAGAGTGTCAGAAAAATTGGACACATTTTTTTCCCGTGGAATAAAACTCGGAAATGCGATAGAAAAAACAATGGGGAATGATTATGCCGAGGGTGTTTTACCTTTTTTTCAGGATATTTTAGATTTTTTGGGGGAGGGAGGAAAATAAGACGGAGGGGTCGGTGATTTACGATCTTTTTAGGTTTGAAACGCTTTTCAAAGGGGATTTTTTACCCCTAATTTCTTAGTTATCTCGGAAATTCAACAGGAATGATTTCTTTGTGTCGTGCAATTGTTGATATTTCAATGGCAGCTTGAGTTTTCAAGATTATTGCGGGAATTAAAAATTAATATGCATTGCAATGCATTTGTTAATGAATTTCATTGATTATCTCTTCCTCTCGGATTCCAGCCAATCAAGCCGCAGCATTTAAAGTCCGTCGGACTTTTGTATTACAAAAATTCCGCACAGGTGAAATTACTGCGAAATTTTATTCTCACAATACTGCACTCTAATCTGCGAAAATCCGGGTGGAAGACATAATCGGATAAATACCAACCACTTGTGCACTGTTAAAAATTTTCGTCTGAATTTTCCGTGGCAAATTCCGGAAATTTTTTTCGTGTCCAAGTTCCACTGAAATTTCGGGAAATCTTATCATATTCCATGGATTTTCCGTTCAAATGATCTGGAAATCAATAAAATACTTAATTTTTCAGTTCAGCTATTCTGTAAAAATTCAAAAAAATCAGGAAAACTCATGTTATTTTGTTTCTGAATATTCATGGTTCACTGAAAATTCAATCAAGTTGTGAAATTTCCATCTCCCACCGGAAGCTCATGAATTTCCATGAATTCCACTTAAAACTTGAAATTTCATAGGCATTTTTCCCTGAATTCGATTCAATGTCACTCTCATGAAATTTACTACAATACCTTCCACGAAATTTCAAAAAAATTTCAAACAGTGTGTTTCTTTACCCAAAAATGCGCCAAATTTCGTAGCAAAATTAGAGACATTCTTTCCCACGCAGTGAGCCTTTAAAAAATAACCGATAATTTTGAATCACCTACGCTATCACTCCAGACTATTTCCCAAAATACCTGATTGCTCACCAAAAAAACATTCTAAAATGTCGTTGCGCATCGATAACTGTTGAAAATGCCCCCATTTCCACCCGAAATGTCAAGATTAATTCGCCAACAGGAGTTAATATTCCCTCATCGTCTTGTTCTCTCGGTCTTACCCCCCCCCCCCCCCCCCCCCCCCCCCCCCCCCCCCCCCCCCCCCCCCNCCCCCAAACCCTCATAAATCTAGTCCTTTGATTTTCTCGGTATTTTCATCTCCCATGTGTCCAACGCTAGTGCCCTCGCAAACTCCTATGAAATTATTCAGAGCCCACACCAGTTAAATCCCCCGCCTGATTCAATAAACGTCGAAAGGTTAAAGTCTGAAGTTGAATTTAAATATTTACCCCATCGTGCGAAGCTCGCCCTCAATTTTCTTCACTTCCCCCTTTTTGCGTGATGCGAAAAAAACTAATTGGATCAATCGATTCGCAAAACATGTCCCAAAATAGACAGCACAGTCGGTGGAAAATGCGAGCCCATAATCACCCGGGTATTACCATATCTCCAATTATGTTTTTATTGCATTTGTATTCGGTATGAATGCAAAATTGTATCTGGATGTAACCGGTGGAATGCGACGCAGTCCTGCGACGACAGTCATCGCTACAGCCCACAAGGATGAGCAAACACGAGGGAACCGGGGGGAAGGGGGGGGGGGTGGAAACACCTTGGCACTCGGCCAATCGACTTTAACCCCAATTTGCAATAAAATCCAGATAGAGACGCAACTCAAATTCACCCCAACAATTTATCCTCCCCGGATTATTGCTGAAGGGGGTGAAAGCCTCTTTATTCCGGGGAAAATAACGAGAATGAAAAAAAAACACGCCATTAATTCCCATGCAAATTTTCACGAATACATCAGTGTTGTTTTTCTGCCCAACTATTAATCAATATTACTGGTGTTTTGAAATGTCGTATTTTTAAGAGACTATCCTGTGTTTCCACGCCACGTGGAATGCAACTCGCATTATCATTTATGGATTTTTTTTTTATTCCTGTTATTTTCCTCAGTCGCGGTATCGCATTACTCTATACATACATTCCACCTCTCTCTTTCTTTCTCTCTCTCTCTCTCTCTCTCTCTCTCTCTCTCTCTCT